TGACTTGGGTTGATCTTTAAATGATGTTAGCATTGCATTGTAAGAGAACTTACAGTCGGTGTTATCAAGATATGCTTGCCATCGTCCAGGTTTGGCATATAAGCTTCAGTGTCACCGCCTGATTTTCTATTCAGTGTCACCGCCTGTATTAGTTGTAATTTTGGAAGCAAGTCTTATTTCAGGGGTTTTTGTAACATCACGTCTGAAATAGGTAGTGAATATGAGTTGCCAGACTTTATGTCTTCGGAGATTATTTTGTCTGGTTTGCTACTGTTACAAATGGTATCTGAAAGGTGGCCCTTGAGTTGTAGAGGTTTGGACCTAGGATTCAGAGTAGGTTTCTGTGTAGGTCTGATTTAGGGATTAGGAGTTCAAGTAGGGACATTTGTAGTATACATGATTGTTGATTGTGAGCTCCTTGCAAGTCTTTCGCTTTTTAATAATATCCCGTTTGAGTTGTTTGGATGTTAATTTTGGTGAGCCCATGGCTTGGTCTTGAGATGTCGATTCTTTTATCAAGACAAGGTGCTAGGATAATTCTTTCAACTTTTGGTATCATTTGGATATCTGCTCTTATTTATACCTTTATGTGCACAATCTCTTTCAGGAAGAAATGTTCATTGGTCTTCTTTTACGAGCTATGAAAAATGATCTTAATTTGAAGAGGGTGTCCGCATTTGCAAAACGTTTGTTGCAGGTAAGTGACTCAATTTACATCTGATGCATCTAATTGCTTCAGTTCAGTTGACAGTTCACCTAAATGACTACCATCAATTTTATGATGACATGTTGCAAATCTCAACTTCACTTGCTATTTGGTGTATGTTTTCTACTTTCCAGAATGTGAATATACCGACTTATGCACATCAATGTTAATTTGTGGACCATTAAATCCCCATGTTCAATGATCCATTGTATTGTAGCACTTTAAGTTGCATATTAGTTCACATTCATAGTATATCCCCTATGAACAACTTGTCCTTGAGCAGAACGCAACTTCCCAGTCCTCTTCTGTGCATAAAAGAGGGTTTCTATCAAGAAAACATTTACTACCTTGTGGGGATAAGTTCTCTTTCCAGAAAATTGCAGAAAGTCCAAAAGAACTCGTAGAAATAAAAGATGTCAGAGAGCCAACATACCTCTAGTATCCTGTTTCCGTAACATCTGTATGAGCCACCTGCAAAGGCTCCCTTCGTTGTTGGATCGTTGAACAATAGGGAAACAAAGGCACTATGCTCCTGACATAGGGATAGGAATTGGTAGGGGGTTATGGATTTCATTGCTGATAAGCACATTCCTTGTCAGACTTAGTGAGCTAAGAATAATGAGAACCTTGCAACTAAACTAAAGATTCACAGACTCCCCTACATGCACGGCAGTTACCGTAGATAACGAAACATCGTGTCCAACATCGAATTGTGATAATGAGTTCTGAGCTCTTTATGAGCCCATGCTAGGATTACATCAAAATCAATGCAGGGCCAGATGTTACAGACAAAAATTAGGAAACAGCACTTTCTAAGATGTGAACATAACATCCATACCTGGCGGCAAGACTTATCGGTCCTCGACTGTGTTGAAGTATTGTTGTTTTGATGTACCAAACTTCTTAACATAGTGTTATCTACATACAATCGGGGATCACATATTTTTCTTTTTTACGGAAGAGTAGGGAGTTCAGAAAAGTGTGGTGCTAGTTCATATGGTCGATGGAAAATGAGTTGTTGCTTCATTATCTATCTGGCAAATATGTATATAATTTGCATATACAATATACATTGCAAGTGTTGTGTATTAACTTTATCATGCAAGTTTTGACTGCTCGAATATCTTGTACAGGTCTCCCTCCAGCAGCCGCCTCAATATGCTTGTGCATGCATCTTTCTTCTCTCTGAAGTTCTTAAATCAAGACCACCTCTCTGGCGAGTATTTTTTTAATCACTACATGGTCTTCAGAGAATCATGTATGAGCTTAATACTTGGTCATAATGRTGAAGTAATGTTTTCATTTAATTATTCCAGGAACATGTTACTTCAGAATGAGCTGGCTGATGAAGAAGTTGAACATTTTGAAGACATTGTTGAAGAACCAGACATACAAGCAAGCACAGCAGCAGATAAACCATTTAATTCTGGTGAAGCAGTTCATTGCAGTGATGGTATCGATAACGATGATGACCCCTCAGAGGATGAAGGCGGGTCTCCAGCTCCCAGTTCTGATGATGAGTATTCAGACAAAGGAGATGGTGACTTGCTCGGGTTTGGTGGTTTGACCACACTTGGGGAATCTGAAACGACGAGCGAACCACGAGTACAAAATGCGAAGTCTTCATTGCCTAGAGGATACAACCCTCGGCATAGAGAACCTATTTATCGGTACTTGTTCTCTACTTGAATCGTATGTCGTAGTATTTTTTGAAATTTCAACCAGTTAAGGTATAACGGGCTTCTTGTTTTCATGGTTGATAYGTGACAGCAATGCAGACCGTGTGGGGTGGTGGGAATTGATGGTATTAGCTTCACATGTACATCCGTCGGTTTCTACCATGGCGAAAACCCTTCTATCGGGGGCCARCATTGTCTACAATGGAAACCCATTAAATGATCTTTCGCTTGGTGCTTTCTTGGACAAGTTCATGGAGAAAAAACCAAAAGGAAGAAATTGGCATGGTGGTTCCGAGATCGAACCTGCGAAACAGGTTAGTTTTCAAGTGTATTTTTGGCTAGTTTAGTATTTGTAGCGACTGCAATCTCAGGGCTTTTCCTTGTATGTATATACACAGGTTGATATGAGCAAGCCATTGATTGGGGCAGAAATCCTCCAATTAGATGAAATGGATGTAGCTCCCGAAGATGTTGTGTTCCATAGGTTTTACATGAACAAGATGAATTCCTCAAAGAAGCCAAAGAAGAAAAAGAAGAAGGGGGTGGAGGAAGAGGCGGCAGAGGACTTAATAGGAGAGGGGGAAGAGGATGAAAGTGACGACGAGGAGATTGAAGCCATATTGGATTCTAGCAACCCTGCTTTGGATACAGATGGTGATTATGATTATRATGACCTGGACCAGATTGCCAATGAAGATGATAACGACTTGGTGGGGRATGCTAGTGACGAAGAAATGGAGTTGRTTGCAGAAGACGAGGCTGATGYAAGTGATGAGGTTAGTATAGGGGATGCAGAAGATGGAAGTGATGAGGACGTATTCGAGGTTAAACCAAGGAAAAGGAAGGGTAAGGCTGTTGGGGCATCGCCTTTTGC